CGGAATATTGCTGCTAAGAAGCAATTGAGATTCCACCCCCATCCAAAATTGAACCAGCTTGCCTGATCTCAATGTTCAATATTGGTTCGAGGGGGGAACCGATACCAAACAAAGATACATATCCAAGATACGTATGTGTGTGTATCTTGTAGTGGGATATGTATGTGTCTGGAATTCCCAAACCAACAAAAATTTAATTGTGTCAGCAGGCCTGCACCCTCGACCGTCTCAAACGTGTGTTTTTTGCACGGAAAACAAATGTACCGGAAGAGGCGGAGAGATGACGCCCCCCCTGAACCGTTATGGAAGCTCGATTGCTTCATTATCAGGCTTGTGCAACCACCAACTATCGTGGTTTTGGGAGCATCTCGTTGAGGGCTTTCCGTAGACGTATGTATGGGGCTCTTTCCTTACCCACATGGTTGTGGAGCAATCCAGCTTCCAAAGTCAGTCTATGGGGGGCGCCATCTCTCCGCCTCTTATGGTACTACTGAGGACAAACCACATCAAATCCACACAAACCCGCAGACACTTCCTTAGACATCAATGCGCAATTGTCTGTTGGACTTGATTTTTGTTCATTGGATACGAACTGGCCACATTTTTTAATGTGGTCGCGCAGATTTGTGAAAAATTATGGTCAACACGTGGCGTGCGCGTGCCTAACTGGAGTAAATATCAAACAGAATCGGAGGTGATTAAGATTTTCAAAGAGACTGCGAAGTTAAGCACAATCTGTTGGTGTACACCACCCCAGAATTTTCAGGCCCTCAAAGTTGGCGTGTGCGTGTGTCGGTTGGGCCATGCCTACTGATCAACGCGAAACATGGGCGACGTAAAACGCTTCATTTGGTGCGCCCAAGCGACAATCATCCTTACCTCCGGTACCTGCGAAGACACAGAGCGTGAATGTCAGAGCTGGGCGAGAGCTGAAACACATCCAGGGCTACTATGTGAACGACACCGAGGGTCGTAGAGACGTCGTTTTTCCTTTTCGCAACGACTGCAATCCCGACGTTCGGCTGTAGGCACACATCCCACCGTTTCCTGCCCGTAGCAAGCACAAATAAAAACACACCCACACCGCTCTTTGGCCGATATTCGGGTCAAAACACACTACGTTCTGAGTGTCCGCAGCCCATGGCATGCGTTTCCTCCGTACTCATACAAACGAAGATACCCGAGCAGCAACGGCGTCTTGTCTCGACATGAGGCTTCGGCAGCAGCTGCACAAAGATCGAAAAAGGCAGGCAGGCACAAGCGGGTTTCGCCTGGGCCCTCATTGACGTGCTCGCTTCACGTTTCGGTCGCGTAACAAACCGATCAGCATTGCGTTACGATTGCCAACATGACACAATACCCAGTTGAGGTTGCTTTGCTCATCTACCGTCATCATACACACTCACACATGAAGGTTTGCGCGAATTCAACGTAATGAGAGCCAAAAACTTGGTTTTCCAGAGGAGGGAGTTGAGAGCTTTGTGGCACAGCTGACAACCGACAGACGCACGCGCAACGCACACGGGAAGCGACCATCGGCGGTCTCACAGCTTCGTTGTAAAAGCAGCGCACCAATAACTTGGGTATCAACCCGCTCTTTCTGTGGCATCACGCACGAGCCTTTTAGTTGAGCCCCGAGTCAGAGGGCTTGGCGCATGCGCGGTGTGTGTGGGAAGACGTGCATACAACTGATGGCGAAGAACTGTGATGTGTTTCGTTTTTTTTAGTGTGGGAGTCTTGCCTTGGTGCTCTCCTCAGCTCTTGTACCGTTCCTGAGGCACTTTACTGAAAGCCGAAATTTCGGCCCTTTCCGCTAAGCACCATCAGGTTGCAACGATTCTACACCCATCAACCCCCTGATGTATCCTATTGTATGAACAACCTTAGACGTATGGCGTCCACTTTCACCATATCAACCTTGTACCTGGTATCCACCTCGCCCTCCCGCCTTTCTCCTTCGAGAATACTGCACGAAAGCGGAGAGAAATAAGCTGACCTTTCCCGACAAGGGTCCGGTTGCTTCTCCGCCGGACAGTCACCTGCCCCACTTCGAAGGTGTTTCCTCGTGCCCGATACTGTATTATATCAGTATTCTTTCCGATGTACTTATGTTGCTTGAAATTGGTCCAGGCTGCCACGCATATTCTCCCACGTTCGCTTCCAAAGCCCCCGGCACCAGTGTTGGGTGTTCCACATTCGCCCAACTAATTTCGACTGCTTGGATACTGATGAATGTACAACCGTGTACCTGCTGCTGCTTTGCAGGAAGACGGTGCTTTGCGAGTAGGACCGGTCAGCAGCCGCAATGCCTCTCAAGGCACTGAAGAGTTTCCTCGTGGCCACAGGGCCACTTGCTCTCTTTCTCTTGGTAACGGCCACGATGATGCTGCAGCACATCACTGCGATTTGTGATGACGAGTGGGACGCTTGCTTTGACGATGCCGTGTGCAACTCGTGCTACTACGATTGGGCTGAGTCTATGGATGCATACAACAAATGCATAGAGGACTATCCCGAGATCGACTACGATACAGAGGTTGACTGGTGCTTTGTGTACACGGCTTCCGATTGTTGCAAAGCTTCGGTGTCCTCCAAAGACTGCCTGGGAAGCACAGCCTTCGTGGACCACACGATATGTGAAGCAAATTATTCCGCCACCTCAACGGAGAAGGACGCATGAACCCTAATTTTCGTTCGTGGCTGCCTCGGTTTGAGTCTGTCCCTTGCTTGTTGTTGCTAGACGGGATTCGGGACGTGGTGCATCACTGGTAGCCAGTCGGGTGTCATGTTTCTTGACATGCAGTGTTCAAACACAGGGTTCACGATAGGTTTATCGTCATGTGCATCTCGAGTGTGGCCAAGCGAAAGTATTCAGGACTACGTCTTCAGGCGTGATGCCGTGGTTGAGCTGCTGTAGACGGGCAGTGCGTTTCAGCGCACCGCGTTGGGTGATGGAGCACATTAGCATGAAGTTCAATACTCCCGTTATTCACGTGGTACAGCTAACCGAGCCTGTGGACGAACGCAGCTCTCTTGAAGACATGATCACCCTTCTCAAGTATGACCTCCGCATCAGCTTTCAGCTTCTCTGCAAACATATCAGCGAGCATGCCATTCGTTACGACTAGAGTCTCAGCGGCACCTTCTGCCAGCGCCCCCGACCTAAGCCACCATCACCCTATGCCACTGAAACTTACAGCCCATCAACCCACACTCTACCCTTCGCCGTTCAGGTAGCTGCGAAGCGACGGGGGTTTTACACCGAAGTAGAAAAAAAACACCTTGACGTGCAACGAGGGTAGCGTGACCGTACCGTTTGATGACGACGCGAGCACAGCTACTAACGACGAAGACGTAGCTGACGACGCCGATGAGGGTGTAGCTGACGACTACGCGGATGTAGTTGCAGGCGACGACGTGGACAGAGCGGACGACGACGGAGAAGGCACAGCTGACGATGACGCGGGCGTAGCTGCCGACACTGGAGTGGCTTTCCGTGTCGGCAGATCCTCCCCAGGCGTCGTGCTCACGGCTGTTCGCGGGATCGCTTTCTTGATTGTAGCTCCGTTTCTGGCGGCCTTCGTGTGAAGTATAAGGCGTTTCTCTAGATGCGCAATTTTGCGAGTAAATAAGGGTTCGGTTCGTCAGATTCCAGACGTGAAATATCTTCACCAAGCACGTGGAGGGCTGATCCGCCAGGGTGATATCTGTGAATATATCTTGTCCTGTCGAGGATTCCACCCTATAAAGAGCACGGGGGAAGCTACCAGTTGATGCTAGGACAAGCACAAAGAATTGTGAGGCGTGACTCGCTGCCAACACCGAAGTCGGGCAGTAGGCAGCCGCACGGCAATGCATCCGGACGTTGAACCGACGTGCATCCGAGTCAAAGGCCGAGAGGTGTTTACGTTGAGTTGTACTTTTTGCAAGCGATTGTGTTTTCCAGCGATCAATTTTTCGACAGCGCACTCCTCGCAATATTCACGGCTCCACCTGCCATTCAGCGCATAACAGGAGTCAATGTTCTTCCTCTGGGGGTTCGCTCTCTCCCGGCCATTTAGCTTCTGTTCTTTGAGATCGGATATTATCACGTTTGGAGGATTCTGTTGTTTTCTTGGTCCATGTGATTTTTGTTTTCTTTGATTTTCGAGACAGGTGCACGTACCCTGTTTGGATTTTTAGTTGATGACCATGAAAAGCATCCGCGTCAGCCGGACCAGGAGGGTGCTATACGGAGACCGGAGCGGTTTTTAACGTGAAGACCCAAGAAGAAAAGAAGCATAAGTTTGTTTGGACCGGGATGACAACCTCTTAAATAGATAATCCAAACAAGCGTTTGTCCTGCATGCAGGGCAAGATCACATAGTCCGGAAGGTAGGTCCACCCAGATCTCAATATTTCCCGAACGAAAGCGGCGAAAATGTCAGCACGTTCGGCAGCGCAGCGTTCTCTTCTCCTAGCCAGTTCATACAAATCGCCAATCGATCCTTTGCCACGCCTCGAGGTGTGAAATGTCTTTTTCCGATACACTCTTGGCCGTCCCGGTCTCCCCCTCTGTCACGTGTGTGGGTATCGACACGTGTAGAATTTGCCGTCCAAGACGTCGTTGAAGACATCCATCAACATCCCGTCTGCCTTGGACTGAACATCTAGGATAGCTTTGTTGTTGGTTTTAGTTGCCATGTAGTTGTTGGTTTTAGTCTAGGTCTTATCCACGACAACGCATCCCGATGCAGACGCACTGATGTTCGCGAGGAATAACCAACCGGAAAAAGTGATATGTCTTGAGATAACTAACTGTTGTATGCATATGAACTGGTGAGGGTAGAGGCGGTGTGCCGCTTGGGTTTTCGGCAGACCGGTCGACCTTCATCCAACAACGAGATGATCAGCAGGGAGGGCGTGCTTTCGCAGGCCCTATCGAGCACAACGGTGAAGCTCGACAGGTCTTTCTCAAGCCCAGCTATCCGCCCATGCAATATAATCATCTCTGACCTCGATTTTGCAACGCTCCTCTCAAAAGGAAGACTTTACCGTCGAGGATCGGAACGCTCTCCAACATCTCGAAGTGCGATAATCTCTTTCAACATTCAACCCACGTGTGTCCCGCGATCCCTATAGCGGGTGGGTTTGCGCCAGAAATCGCAGGGAGGCGAGCGCTCCCCGGGGGGGTTCCATCTTCCGTGCCACTCGAGCCTAAGCACCATGGCCGCCACGGACTCTTCGTGTACCAACCGCGGCAGCCCGTGCAAACAGGTTCTACTTGGTGCAATACCTTTTCTATGTTCCGCAATGCTTTCTACTTGTACAATTGGTCCATCGTGAATCAGTCTTTGCTCCAGGCAGATCTCCGCCCACAGAGCTTCAATCAACCTCAAACCAATTGCATCGTGTGGGTATGGGTAACAGCTATCTGAAACACTGCTTAGAAGCTCAATCGAACCAGTGGCTGCAGAGATATGTTAACATGTGGTTCCGGAGAGTCTCAGGAAGAAAAAATCGCCTAAACCCTCCGTCCACACAGCTCCAACTGACCCGAAACCTTTTGCACCGTGTTGGCATGGCCCATACGCTGCAAGTACGAATCAATCGAGGTCGGTTGTGCGGTAAGCCGTTCTCTCAGTTCACTTCTATCATTCCGATGTCCCCATCAATGCATCCATGTGCTGCAAAAGTGACGGAGAGGAACGGGATAGTCGTGCTGCGTGAAACGACGGGCATCGACAATGCACTAGCAAGGCCGACAGTCAAGATTGCGATTTGAATTGACGGGAAGGTACGAGTTTCCATGCATGGCGAGAGAGTTGAGGAAACGATTCTGCATCTGGTTGCGCGCTACGGTCGTGGTCAGATTGCGCAAGGCACTACGTTCGCGGCTACCGATTCTTTGCTAGGCACCACTCGCTGTCGATATCTCGACCGAGCCTACTTGTGCGCTAGCCCAATCGGTGTTGCTGCGAAGGTGGTTGCACTTAGCAGTCGCTCTATACACCTGCCGGCCGTTGTCAGCGCGGCACGCTTCAAATCGTTCCGAGGTCACCAATACCCCAACACCACCGTCACCAACACGTTGTACGGCGAACGTTCTGACTCCATCCATGTTCTGAGCAGAATGGCTTCCACGCATGTCCGTATTTTCACGTCAAGTGATCGTTCTCGACTGCATTCAGAATCGTGTTCTTTTGATCTTAGAACAACGCCAACCAAGGGAGAAATCAGAACAAGTATCCGGTGCAAGAGCGCAAGGTGTACTCATCTGTCCAGTCGGTCGGGTGTGTGTTGTTGTAGGTTGAAGTCTTGGGCCAGGTGACGATGTTGATCTTGGAGGGCGTACGGCGACGTAGAACATAGGCCGGTGAGGTGGCGTTTTCGGACATCCTGGGAGCGAAAGTGGTCGCCAAGAGAGAGAGAGAGAGAGAGAGAGAGAGAGAGAGTGATCAGTGTGGCGTATGCACGGATCACGCAAAACGTATTGTTGGTGTATGCGGTCGAAATTGAGAGCGAGGTAGATATTGCGTGGCCATCGAAGAAGCCGCGTCACAGCCAACCTCAGTCAACACACGAAGGGAGTGCTCTCAAACCCGCACTCTCTCTGCTTACAAACTCAGCTCATCGACGTGGCGGAACACCGCAGGCACCACAAGCATAGCAGGCCGCTTACCGTGATGACAGACTTGGCCGTGGCGAGCAAAGAGATGTCGAGGTCGACCAAGATGATCCAGGATGTCCTTGGAGGTGGTATCCTTTCGTACATCACCTATGGAAGGAGGAAACGGATGGAGGTAGTGGAGGGGGGGGGAGACGGTGCCCCCCCTCCCCTATCCCCACATCACGGGATGGGTTGGTGGAGATGTCGTTGACTTTGAGACCGATGGTCGATGATTTTCATGGATTATCTATCATGATTTTCGACGAACAGACGCAGAACACGCACTTCACGATTTCATGGACACGACATCAAAGCTGGCCTAACGCACGCTCAATCCTGCGCCAAGACACACACGTCCAGGGAATACACTTCAACACTGCCTCAACACACAAACCCTCATGATATGAAGACCGATTTCACGCCTCCACCCTCTGCATCCCGCCTTTGGTTTGAGCAAACCAACTCAAAGGACACACATCAGATTTCAGATTTCAGGAGAAACCGCTCGACACTGCCTCAACACAAACCCTCTTTTCCACATCGAGACCGATTTCACGTCTTCACCCTGTGCATTCTGCCTTTGATTTCAGCAAACACAGGCAAAGCACACACGCTTGAATTCAGGGGAAAAGTACTTCAACACTGCCTCAACGCAAACCCTCTCATCACAACGAAGACCGGTTTCACGTCTTCAAGCTCTGCATCCTGCCTTTAATTTCTGAATATCCACGCGAAGCACACACGCACCCGATTTCAGGGAAAAACACTTCAACACTGCCTCAACACAACGCCTTCATACGCTGCAATTCTGCCTTTGATTTGAGACAAGGCAGGCAAAACACAAACGTCCGATTTCAGGGAAAGACACTTCAACACCTCGCAAACACATACCCTCTCTTCCGAATGAAGACGGATTTGTAAGTCTTCACGCTCTGCATCCCGCCTTTGATTTCAGCAAACCAACCTCGAAACACACGCACCCGACATCAGGAAAATGCACTTCAACACTGCCCCAACACAAACCCTCTCTTCCGCATCAAGACCGATTTCAAGTCTTCACGGTCTGCATCTCGCCTTCAGCAAACACAGGCAACACACACGTCCGATTTCAGGAAAAAGTACTTCAACACTGCCTCAACAAAAACCCTCTCATCACAGTGAAGCCCGATTTCACGCCGTCACCCGCTGCATTCTGCCTTTGATTTCAACAAACACACGCAAACACACAAACACGCCCGATTTCAGGGAAAACACTGCAACACTGCCAACACACAAACCCTCCCTTCCGCATCAAGACCGATTCCAAGTCTTCACGCACTGCATCCCGCCTTTGACTTTAGCAAACCCACACAAAGCACACACGTCCAGTTGCAGGGAACACGCTTCAACACTGCCCCCAACGAACACCCTCTCATCACAATGAAGACCGATTTCACGTCCTCACCCTCTCAAATCCGCCTTTGATTTCACCACACATGCCTCGCTTCCTATGGCCAGCTCTGACCGGAACACTAAACACGCACACACACACACGCCTGGACCAGAAACCGGCCCCGACGATTCACGTATCTGGCGACGGGGTTGCCTTGGTCTCCGTGTTGATGGTCGTCTCGACCTTGACCCCGATGCTGATTTTGGTATTGGCGATGG